AGATTAGCAACGACTTCAGAGTCTTAGAATACTCAAGCTTTCTTTTCATAGTCACTTGAAAACAACTTTCTGCATGTGTTGGAGAACTACCACAAACCCGTGATTGACTGGGTTTCAGGACAAAGCGGGAAGGCCTGATGCACACCCCAGGTAGAGGAGTGAGTGAGCTATCCTTAAGGGAGTTAGGTGCCATAGCTACGCTGAAAACCCACGCCGTACGAAGACCAACGTTGATAACAGAGACGCGAGCATAATATGAGGATTTTGGCTGAAGTGGTTTGTCAGCTTCAGCGGGAGTGGAAAAGGCAGAAGTCCAGTAGGTCTTTTCATCCACACCCCTGCAAAAGTCGCATTGGATGCTGCTTCCGCCCACGTAACCAATTAGGCGTTGCTATAAATAAAACCGCAAATACGCAGCAAAGATAATTCGTACAGAAAATAACCATGTAGCCACAGAGATATTCGCCAATCAGAAACAAAACAATCTTAATCTCGCTAATTGTACTTTTGGGGAGTCAATACAAGGAAAACAAGGGAAAGTAACTAGGAGCCTTCAACTGTTACCCCAGCCGAAGTAATCCAAAAAGCCTATAGACAGCATTATTACCAGATAGCAGCGCGGTCTAGAGTTCTGACTATCGGTGCTACTTTTACGAGGTGCTTCACGGAAGGCAAGGGTTCCGGTGTGCCAAAAAAGTGGCGGACGGGGTTTATAAACGACGGTCACTGTGCAGGCCAGCCGTGGAGGGAGGTCTATTACGCGCGACCCCTTTTGTATGGAAAGGCCGCGGTGATCCAGTAGCTAAACGCAAATGTGGTATAAGTCAGTCGAACTTAGCAACACTAATTGCAAAAAGGTGAATTGTGGCTCAATGAAATTCCCAATGGTTGCTAACCAGGCTTGGTACGATGAAGTTATGTAAAATTAGACCAAAATAGGCTTCTAATGTCAACAAATCTATCCACCGGCCATTAGGGAATCAGGAGGTAACTACAAGCTGCAATGGAATGATAATTTGAATGAAGAAATAAACCTTTACCGTAAAGAAGTCCCTTCCTTTGGTAATTTGTAACTTCACTTTTATTAGATGGTCTGAGTCTTGACGAAGAACGAACACCTGTTTGCTAAAAGTAAAAAAAATCATACAACTTAGTGAAAGAATGGATATGCGGAATCAGTCGTTTATATTTTACAAAACTGAAAAATGCAGCACAAAACATACCTTTCGTGCCCGTAGCTACAGGCTCGCCAAAAAAGGCAGCGGGAAGTGGCCATAAGAGGGTGCTCATTCTTGATATTTACCGGTGAGGTTTCTTCACCAGTTTTTCCCACATGCAGAGGATTTTTACCAGTGTTAACTGTAGGTAGAGGAAAAGGTTGAATATTTACACGTTAATGTAACCCAATTCAAGGTAGAATAGTAGTTATAATCCGAAAGAAAAGCTACAATGCCTCTCAAAACTGTACATTACTGCAAAGTAAAAAACAGCAAACCAGTTGGTTTCGATGGGCCTTTTGGTGAAGTAGCAGTTACACCCGAGTACGTGGACGAGTTTAATTCCACTTCACAAGTAGTCTTCGCATCCTTCGCTTTCATCATGCTTTCATTCCCTTGTGAAATCGTTTGTGTTGCAATGGCATTTGTTTCCACCGAAGATTCAGCAACCGCGCCGTTCTTCGCCCTCTCATCTGATAGCAATGAGGACTTAGGTACCATTGAACCACTGGTGGCATGCGGAGAAGAAAGATCAGAAGGGGAAGGGGCTGTGGTGATAGTAGTGATGGAGGGAGCAGCCTG